ACTTTTAATATTTAATAATAAAATGAATGTGGACTTGTTTTATTGTTTGTATGCTGTTCTTCCTCATGCCCTGTACAATGATAGAAGAGTAGACTAATGACCACTAACTTGTATCTGTAAGTAAATGTAAGAAAGTATTTTCTGTAAAATAATGTCATATTTTGAAGATGATAGTAATTGTTATTGCTTTTTATGCTATTGTAATTTCACATGTGGGTTAATGTTGTCCATTGAAGGAATGGGGGAAAGGGATTGTTGGACATTTTGGGAAAGGGGCTAATTTGCTTTCGTGCCAGTAGTTAGATTAGAAAACTGATACCAGTCTTATGTCTGTCTGTGCACTATTGAAGATTATTAGCAGCTGATGATATTTATTTATACAAAGACAATGCTTTATTGTAATATTTTGTAAATAATATTTAATAGAGGAGCTAATTTTTGTTCAAACTTTTGACATACTGTAAACATGTCTTAGATTTTTTAAATATTAAAACATTCCATCAGTGATTTTTAGCCAACTTTTGTGTTGTTTTTATGGTTTTTGGCATACTGTTCAGTTTTATGGTTTTGTGTATATCACAGTGCTGCACTTACACCATAAACCATCAGGTTAGTCTATATGATCTGTTAAAAATCAACTCATCAGTTCAGACATAAGATAAAAATTAAGTGATTAATATTTGAAGAAATGTACTTCCCCTTTACTACTGATAACACTTGCAACAAGCCTCACTCAGTCGATCCTTTCTTACCACTGTGTGCCAAAGGACACCACCCAGTGTTTAACTGTAATATTTTGTTGTTGTTGTTGTTTAAGTTTTACATCTTTTTGTAGGCCGTGAAATGTTGTACATTTTACATTTAATTATTACACTGACTGAATAGGTTAAAAACACAGTACAGAGTGTGCACTGGCTAATCTACAGACAGCAACAGATAAAGTAAAGGATCATAAACTTTGTCAGTATGCACAGACTAACCGCAACGCTTCAACTGTAGTACACAACACTTGTCCACCTCAGTGTACTTGTGGTCAGCCATGAGACTGGTACTCCCTAACCCAGGACTGGATCTCCGGATCCCTAATCATGAGGATCTGGAGAGGATGGAGAAGGAGGAGGCCGGGGACAGGCCCAAGTGGGACAACAAAGCCCAATACATCCTAACCTGTGTGGGCTTCTGCATTGGGCTTGGTAACGTCTGGAGATTCCCTTACCTGTGTCAAAGTCATGGAGGAGGTAAGCCAAATGGGGTAAATGGAGATTTCTGGTTAAGCTGTCGAATGAGTGTTTGACAAATTCAAGTGTGGTTGAGGTATCCAGGAGTGAATTTATTGTGATCTTATGTGAATTTATGGTAGTTTATGTTTTATATATTTGATGTATGATTTATATTGCTATTGCTAAATATCTAAACTGTAAACTTAACTTATTTCACAAGAAAGAAAATCACTCCTTCATGGTTATGAGAGAGTGGCATGAAGTCAGCATCAAGTTTTATTAATGATTAGTATAAGAAGAGTATAAGGACTTCTGAAGTAATGTTAACCTTTGGAACGACATGTGAGCTATGGACAGAGACCCTGGAGTCAGCTGTTTATTGGTTAAGTTGAAACTGAATGCTAAGATAACTATGCATTCATTCATATTAAATGTGTGTGTGTGTTTTTCCAAATGTGTCTGTGTCAAGTGGTTGTTATTGTAATTCCTTTGGCTCTAGATTGAACCTCAAGGGAAGGGACAGATTTCAATAGCATGCTTATTTAAATGTATAATCTGTAACTTTTCTGTGAATTGTTAACTTGAGCACTAATTCTCACGTACCACCAGTGGGTATGCAAGGTGCTACTAGTGGTATGAGGAGGAATGTCTGAAATATATATAAAAAAAAATGAAATTAATACATTTAGAAACATATAATACTATCAAAATAGTACAAAGTTTCGAGTGAAAATATTTGTAGCTGTACAAAGCTGAAATGTGATTTTTGCATTTTCTGTAATATTTTGTTTCAATATCAGCCTGTGGTCACGTTGATGCATGTAGCGGGCACACACATATCCATGTTTAGTTACAAGCTAAAATGTGAAGGCAAAATAGTAAGCCGCAGTAAAATGAAAGGTTAAAAAATACTGCAATCATGGATTCAAATGGGAACTACTAGAAAGGAAAGTGTGGACCAGGAGTACCCATTTAACTAATAACTAGTCATAAGTCATAAACCTTTCCTATCACAGCATTATGTAAGAACTAATATGTAACCTGTAAGTGCTATAGCTAATCTGCCCTTAGTGACAAACTGTACTAATAGGCTGATGTTTAGCAGGTATTATGTTTACCATGTTGCAACATTTTAGTTAAGCTATTAAAAAAAATAGACCTGACAGCTGACAATGATAGAAAATGTCATCGGTTTTGCAGATATTTGGTCATTAACTAAAGTACTGGACAATCTTAAAGATTGGTGCTAGATAAAAAGTCATTGGAACACCAAAGTCAGCAGGATTCAACCTCTGGGGGCCATATAAGTCAATGGCAATCCATTTGATAGTTGTAGTGGGGGACCGACCAAGAGACCAACATCACCATCCCTAGAGCCATCCCTCCAGCATGGCAAGACCATGGCGTACCATAATTACCACAACCCCAGACAGAAGAGGAAACCAGAGACTCTGCAACATAGCAGACCAGCTGCTCTTTGTGACTGATAATAACATTAACAGTCCTCACTCACTTTGCACCCACAGAGATAAGAATACCTCTCTATGTCATGGCGTTGGTGCTGCATTCACATGGATTCAGGCAGACGGTAGATGGCACCCACATTAGGTGAGGCTGGCAGAGAAAACAGGCAACAGTAACATTAGACGGCCTCGCTGTTGTTAAAATATTTGTACTGTTTGCCGTCCTTCGTGACAGAATTTAAACCTGTTACATGTTACATAGCTCCCGAAGACAAGGAGCAAATATGGGCAATCTGGACAAAATGTCGTCCTGCCATTCCACTGGACTGTTTGTTTTTCCTGTGCTGTTTACCTGACTCCATGTGAATGCAGCACTATTTCCACCTATCAAAAACATTTTCCAGGTGCCTTTTTGATCCCCTACTTGATCCTGCTGGTGCTGGAAGGAATGCCCCTCCTGTTGCTGGAGTTTGCCATCGGCCAGCGTCTTAGGAAAGGCAGCGTGGGAGTGTGGAGGGCCATCAACCCTTATCTGACTGGTATTGGTAAGTAAAATAGGGATAAGTTATCACTGACTATCTGGCTTCCTGTGAGTGTGATGTCACAGTTCACCATGCTGTCCCTCAGGTATAGCCTCCCTCCTGGTGTCATTTTTGGTTGGACTGTACTACAACACCTTAATAGCCTGGATCATCTGGTATCTCTTCAATTCCTTTCAAAGCCCGCTGCCTTGGGCCCAGTGTCCTCTCAATGACAACGGGACAGGTATTTGAATATACACACATTTTCAAGCCCACACCAAAGCACCCAGATTGCATCAGTTTCTGTATATTTGTGGCCCCTGTAGGATATGTATCAGAGTGTCAACGGAGTTCCACTGTGGATTACTACTTTTATCGAGTGACTCTGAACAGTTCAACCTCTATAGCTGACTCTGGAGGAATCCACTGGCCTATAGTACTCTGCCTGTTAGTTGCCTGGACTGTCGTCGCTATTTGCTGCATAAGGGGCATCAGCACTTCGGGCAAGGTTTGTTGAACCATCTGTCAATTGGATGTTTGCTATACATTAAATGTAACCATAACTACAAAATATTATTAGTGTAAATGTGTCATTTTTTAAATGAATTTTAGGTGCAACATGAAGAATAACATATAAATTAAACTGAAACATTGAAAAATGAACACTTTCTGTGAAGACTAAACTGTTTTGATGTGATGTCAAAGACGCTAAAAATAGTTTCAGAAACTAATTTTTCTCTTTTGTATAACTAAGACTAGCTTAATTGCCATGGTAACTTATCGCAAAACACACTTAATTTGAACTTGACCTAAACAAAATAAAACTGAGTTAGATGTTAAAATATTCTAGCTCCACACGCTGATTTCCCCCTCTGCCTCTCTGATGGACTCAGTTACTGGTCTGGCCGTGTTTGCTGTGATTAGCAGTTATCAGGAGAGGATGACACGCTCCACTCTCACTTGTAAGCAAACAATGTCACACTAAACTCCATTCACAAATTTTTACTTCCCTTGCTCGTATTCTAGTGCTCATAGCACATATTCTTCTGTCAGAGTCCTTTTGGAGCCACCTTTGTTGGTCTCGAAAGATGTGTTCGGTCCCAGCCCGCTCTGCCACTCTCCACACCACCATTCCCCGCTTGGTCACCCCTGCCCCGGCCATGAAAACCTCTTCGTCTCTGTGGTCCAAAGCTCCTGTGCATACAATGTAAACCAACAGTCCCCTAGTACTGCTCTGAGCTCCCAGTCCAGGCAGATACAGTTAGCAGCAGTTAGCGGTTACTCTGGTGATATGCTGGCCCCTGTTTGTTTGGAAAATGAATTTGACAGGTGGTAAATTCTTACATATTGCACCTTCAAAACTCTTGTTATGATGGAGATGACGTGTGGCAGAAAAACCGTGTTGGAAATTACATGTGTCAAACATAATTGTTAACCAATGTTTATACCTGACACAAAGTAACATCAATTTTAAAACAGAACTTTCTTATCTAAACATACACCATTAATGCATGTTAAATCAGATGGCAGAAAATTGCATCTCATCTGCTCGCTGTGTGCAGAAATCTATGAGCAAGTTGCAAAGGTTGGACTTCATATTTAAAAAGGAAACAAGGAAGAAAAGGAAAGACAGTTTAACTTAATGGCAATCAATCCATAGAATACAGACTGAAATGACATCTGTAGGTAACAAATTGAAACTAATTAACTAATTAATAACGTTCGAAATTAGGGAGTTTAACTTCAAAATGAAATCAAATTGAAACGACTTTTTACAAGTTTGATATTTGATACATTGATATATTTTTTTGTCCATAAACACACAAACAAAAGGTTTAATATTTTTTCAAGAAAAAGTTTTTCTTCGACATGTACTGCTTGCTCATGGTGGGAACTGTTGGGTCTCTGTAAATAATTTTATAAGGAGTACGGTCTAGACCTGCTCTATTTGAAAAGTGTCCTGAGATAACTTCTGTTATGAATTGGCGCTATACAAACAAAACTGAATTG